CAGGTCTGGGTTCCAGGTGCCGAGTCCTGTGCATGGCTGTTTGTGGCTCCAGTTCACATGTGGGTCCTTGTGCATGACTTCTGTTGACGTGTGGGTACCGTGTTTGGAGCAATATGCCTAAGTGTGAACCAGTTTGGGTGTCTCTTAATCTACTCTTAATCTCTCTTTGTTTTCTCAGATTTTAGAAATTATGATTGTTCTTCTTTTTATGATTTTTAAAATCACAAACTCCTTATCTGAGTTTGTATATTCTGTGTGTGTCCCTCTTAAGGTCTGAAGTGACACTCTCATGTGAAGCTGGTGAAGGGAAAGCATGTCACACGTGACCGCGGTGATGGGCAGTGTGCATCCCATCCCTCTGCCTGCTCCTGCCTTTGCTGCCTGATAGTGGTTGTTTTTCATTTGTAGCCTTCTGAAGAGAGCAGGGAGGCTGCACTCTGCAGCCCACCCTCCTCCACACCATACAGCGGGTAGGGTCCCCTCTGGTCAGGGGTGGTGGCAAAGGCTGCACCCACCCACCTACCTCAGTGCAGGAGAATCAGGGGCAGAGCTGGTCCTACCCAGGAAGGCCCCAGCGAGACCCCCATAACTCATGGTGCGGCATCGGCCCCACGGTGAGGAGGTAGAGAGAGGCACAGAGAGCTGGGGCAGAGATGAAGGTTGGGGAGCCTCAGGGAAGGTGGAACCTCAGTCCACTCCGGCCTGCTGACTTTGCAGGTGGACACACGTGGGTGAGAGTCAAACCCCTCGACCACGGTGCCAGGATGACCGGAATTCCCAGTGGCCACTGCTGAAGTGCCGGCGTGGTGGACGCAGGCCTTGGCAGCTGGTGGGCAGCATTTAGAGCAATTGGCTTTTATTTAGTATCACTGACCTATGGGCTTTGAGGGACATTTCATAATCCAGACTAGAGCCACATTAAAAACAAGAGAATGAACGATCACAGTGAACTGGCTCCCTAGAGCGACGTGAGAAGGCTTCGTGGTCTGCTGCCGCTTCAGGTAACAGCTTTTTCTCTCTCTCCTCTCACCCAAGGCTGCCGTGGTGCCATCGGCCCAGACCCTCAAGATCACAGACTTCTGCTTCAGTGACTTCGAGCTGTCGGACCTGGAGACGGCCCTGTGCACGGTCCGGATGTTCACTGACCTCCGCCTCGTGCAGCGCTTCCAGATGAAGCATGAGGTGGGGCATCGGCCAGGGAGGCAGCGCTGGGCGCCAGCCTGGACGAACGACTGCTGGGTTCCGAGAGGCCGTGTTGCCTCTGAGGCGTGGTCTTGCCGGGTTGCCCAGGCTGGCCTCAGTCTCCCGCTGCCCGGCCTCCCAAGTCATTGGGTTTCCTTGTGTTAAAAGAAAAGCCATTGTCCCTCTAAAGACCCACAGGACGCACTGATCACTGTCCAGCTCCAGGCCGAAGTCAAGGGAGTGTTCTAGATGTTGGAGCTGGATGCAGAAGGCTGGGTAGTGAACAGGTGGGGTGCGAGCAGGGTAAGGAGCGGGGTGAGGGGCCTGGGAGCCGTCCAGAGGAGCTGGGCTCTCGTCCCCAGGAGGTCCGAGCCAGGGCTGTGCAAGGTGGTGGCTGACATACTACCAGTATATGAAGGAGGACAATCGTGAGTGTCCTTGTCTGCAGCAAGGGTCCAGGCACTGACGGGAGGCCAACCGTGCCCACAGGTCACCTGTGGGTGAGGCCGAGAGCTGGTTGACCCCCTCACTCTGGCCTCCCAGAAGACTCGAGTCAGGACCTTCTCGTTCCCATTTGGAGATACCCAGGAATTGTTGGCCTTGTAGTGCTCTGTCCAGTGCCCGAGAACTAGTGTGGACAGAAGGCCCATATGGGAATAACTCGGCCTGCAAGTCACTCACAGTTGGACACCCTGTCTCGGGTACCACTGTCCTCCCTGGAGAGAAGCCTTACTCTGTCTGTCAGTCTGCTATGGAAGTGTCCACCCATGCCTGGGACAGGCCAGCTGGGGGCTGTGCCTGCTCTTGGGGCCCATGGCCAGAGAGGAAGGTGGGCAGACACAGCCAGGGTCCTGCATCAGGTCTATAGCTGGAGGTGTGAGCCCGTCCTTCTCCAAGTGAACCATACCTATGACTCTGTAGGGGGAGAGCCGGATCCCATGTCACTGTGGGGGAGGAGCCGGACCCCATGTCACTGTTGGGGGGATCAGGACCCCGAGTCACTGTGGTGGGAGAGCCGAACCCTACATCACTGTTGGGGGGGCCCGTGTCACTGTAGGGGGAGAGCCGGACCCCACGTCACTGTAGGGGGGGAATCGGGCCTGGAAAACATCATGCTAAGTGAAAGAGGCCAGACTAGAAAGTCAAGAATTGAATGATGGGGGGGGTAGAGCCAGACCCCACGTTACTGCATGGGGGGAGAGCCGGACCCCACATCACTGGCAGGGGGTGAAGAGCCAGACCCCATGTCACTGCGTGGTGGCGGGGAGAGCCAGACCCCACGTCACTGGGGGCAGGGAGCCGGACCCCACAGGCCAGCCATGGGCTGTACCTGCTCTTGGGGCCCAGGAGATCCGGACTGTGGTCCGTAGACCCACCGGTCTTCCCTCCTGCTATGGAGCACCAGTCTCATGCTCTGACGCCAACTAAACCCAGAATAACAGGCTCAGCCCAGGCTCTGGGAGTGTGTTCAGTGCTCATGAACCCAGACTGTGGCACTTGCTCAGAGATGAGCTTCTTTCTCCATCTTTAAGCTACTTTTGCTGCTGTTGTTTTCCTGTGGACCCAGAGCTTTATTTTGCATATACAATTTTCAAAAGCCTGGTGCTTGGTAGCTAAGCAGTAACTTTGCCCGAGACGTATGCATAGTTTGAAAGGTCAGAGATCTCATCAGTGTGTGTTAGGACTTGGAGCTGGACATGCACTTGCCCCGCCCCACCCCACCCCAAGGCCTGGCACCTATGACCCTTGCAGATGTGCAGCACATGAGCCCAGGAAGAGCCTGCTCTCCGAGGGAGAATCCCTACAGGTGTGGCTTCTCAGGCTCCCCTAATTGATGCCACAGGGTGGGATATCTTAGCAAGCAATCTACAGATTTAGTGCATCCCGGTCAAAATACCAGTGACATTCTTCACAGAAGTAGAAAAAACAGTCCTAAAATTCATTTGGAAGGATAAGAGAACCAGAGTAGCCAAAGCAGGCTGAGCAAGAAGAGAAGCACAGGAGGCGGCCCACCACCTGGCCTCAGGCTGTACCACAGGGGACCAGTGGAGAGAAGACGCGAGACACGCCACCGACTTAGAGCCGTCTGACACTCGACAGTCGCCAAAAACATGCACTGGAGAAAAGACAGCCTGTTTAACAAAAGGTGCTGGGCAAACCGGAAATCCATATGTAGAGGGATGGAACTAGATCCCCATCTCACCCTGCAGAAAAGTCAACTCAACGTGGATCAAAACCCTAGGAATTAGACCAGAAAATTTCTGATTGTCATAAGAAAGCACAGGTCAACTTCCTTAATAAGACTCCTAAAGCTCAAGAAATAACACCAAGAATTAATAAATAGGGGTGGCATCAGATTAAAAATCTTCTGCACAGTGAAGGAAATGAGCCCGAGGAGAGAGCCTATGGAATGGAGAAGATCTTTGTCAGCTACTCTTTCAACAGGAGTTAATATCCAAAATACATAAAGAACTCAAAAAACTTAACACCAAAAATATAGAGAGCCCACGCAATCGACAGGCAAATGAACTGAGCCAGCATTTCTCAGAAGAAGGAGTTCCAATGGCCAACAAGTGTGTGAAGAATGTTCAGCATCCCTAGCAATCATGGAAATGCAAACCAGAACTTCTGAGAGTTCATCTCACTCCTGCAAGACTGCAAACAGTAATAAACACCGGCAGGGTTGTGGGGAAAAGGTACACTCATCCACCATTGGTGGGACTGCAAATTAATACAGCCACTTTGGAAAGCAGTGTGGAGATTCCTTAAAGGAAGGTCTTTATCTAGAAGATCTAAAGTCAGCATACTACAGTGATGTGGGCATACTGATGTTTATAGCAGCACAGTCACAGAGCCAAGTGGTGTAACTGGGCCAGGTGTCCATCAACAGAGGAATGGATAAAGGAAATGTGCATATTCACAGTGGAGTTTTACTCCGTTGTAAGGAAGAATGAAGTGATCTCTCACTGGTGAGTGGATGGACCTGATAAACATCATGTAAGTGAAAGAGGCCAGACTAGAAAGCCCAGGATTGGGTGAGTTCTCTCATATACAGAAGTCACAGGAAACTAAGGAATTTTAAAAAGGGAAATATCATGAAAATAGAAGGGAGAGCAATAGAGGAAGGGGATTGGGGGAGAGAGGAGGGGAAGGACAGGGGGGCTGCAGAATGGAGCTGACCGCACTGTGCTGTGTACACTGTGAACGGATCCCAGGACTCCACTTTAAGTCCCTCTGTAATGGAGAGATACCTGAAATCACAGAAGGAGGGCCAGAGAGGAAGAGATCTGGGGGCGGGGAAGGGGAGGGGAGGGGAAGTACTGGGGACCTGGGAAATGAGCAGATTTTGTCCTGTGCACGTGTGAATGTGTCAGAATGCACCCCACTGTCACACACGCTGCGGTGCACTAACAACCAAGACGAGCCAGCCAGTGCTGCCGTGCCAAGGGTGCCTTTCTCCGTCCGCAGCGTTTTGCATCTGATGTCTAACTTGGATAGCCTGGTGGTTCCTGGGCTCCGGTTGGAACTGCCCCAGCAGGCCCTGGCCAGGAGCTTCCTCGTGCACAGGGTCGGGCATGGGGCTGGACTGCCTGTGCCGCAGCGTGCAGTGCTGGGCTGTTGTCACTCCTGTGCTGTCTCCACAGGTGCTGTGCAGGTGGGTCCTGAGTGTGAAGAAGAACTACCGGAAGCATGTGGCCTACCACAACTGGAGGCACGCCTTCAACACTGCCCAGTGCATGTTCGCTGCCCTGAGAGCCGGCAAGATCCAGGTGCGCATGGAGCCGCTCAGAGCCAGTGCCCGGGAGAGGGACGGCAGGGTCTTCCAAGTCCTTTTAATGTGCACTAGTGGGGACTGGAATTAGCTACCTGCCACTTGGAGAGGGCGCGTTTGTTGGAAAGCCTGGGATAGCAAAACGCCTCGTGGCTCACTGTCACAGACAGTACGAGCGGCCACGCAGACCCTTAGGAAACCTCTTGTTATCCAGAATGCTTGTAGGAAAGCAATCATCGCCTGTGGCAGGCAGCGCTGGAGGGGTGAGAAAGTCCCACCTTCCGTGCTCCCCTCCGCCCCAGGCAGAGCAGCGCCCCCCAGAAGCCGCCCACGGCTAGTGGGCCTCTTGGGGACCCCGGGCTCTCCACTGCCTCCTCTGGAGCACTGAGATGATTCCGAGGGCTACCTTGTAGAAAGGTCTGCTTCCTTCGACACTGACCAGGGACTGGAGGGAGACGTGCAGACGCAGTGCAGGCGATCGCTCTTCCCATCTCACCCCATCTCTGTTGAGATCCTATCCCAGCAGGGATCAGCAGTCGTCCTCCGGGTCCTGCATCCATCCCAGGCCTCCATTAGTTCAGACTCCTCACTCTGCTCTTTAATGAAGTCCACAGCTGTTGTCTGTCTCAGCTCTCAGGGGTTCACACGGCTAGATCTGAAAGCAGGAGAGGCTGGGCCGCAGCGGTGGTGGAGCGCTGGCCCAGCACGGGCGTAGAAGTGACCGCTGACCTAGAGGCTGTGCAGATGCTGGATAGCGTTTCCCTGCCAGGGCAAACGTTCATGAGACATAGGATACACTTAAGCAGAGGGTGCTCAGAAGCAGCGGTCTTTGTGTGTGCTTAGAAACCTGTTCCGTAGCACTGAGCGATTCCGCAGGAGGGCCTGCGCCATATCCAACTCGCATCTGGGAGCCCCGAGGCCATAAGGCAGACTCAGAAATGACCCACGTTTGGCTCGGGAACACAGTTTTACATCTCGAAAGCCAGGTTTTTCTCCCTGGCCGTCTGGTCTCTGCGGTCTGCTGGAGTTCCCATGCCCACATTTCTGAGTGGTGCCGCGGCTGACAGGCGAGGGAGACAGTCTGCAGGGAACTGAAGGAGGGAAAGTGGATTAAGGCTTGTCACAGGGTTCCCTAAACACACAGAGAGTGAACAGTCAGTGGCCTTGGGCTGGGGTGTGGCTCAGGGCTCAGCCCTTGGCTGGCTCTGGGGTCCTTCCCCAGAATCCCCCAAAATGATATTTCCTCGGTGTGGACAGATCACTACTTTTGAGACTCCTTGGCTTCTGTTTGAGGGGCACTGTGGTGCCCTGCTGCAGGTGCCTGCACGCTGCTTCCCGCAGAGTGGGTCCTGGTGAAGCCGCGCAGCGCCCTCACCGCCTCTCTCCTCCCCGACACCCTCAGAACAAGCTGACCGACCTGGAGGTCCTGGCGCTGCTGATCGCCGCGCTGAGCCACGACCTGGATCACCGCGGCGTGAACAACTCCTACATACAGCGGTGAGCGTTCCCTGCCTTTGTGGGGCATGTGTTTAAAGTTAAAGCCACAGAAAGAAGTGGATGGTGGGAGTCTCAGTTGAGCTCCTTCCATGCACGCGGGCTGTGTTTAGGGGAACGACCAAGGACAGCACTTGGCTGGCCAGCTCCCCAGGCCACAGGCTCGGGTGCTTCGGTGAGGATGGTGTCTCATTGGCAGTGGCGGGAGCTGTGCCTCGGTGCGTGCACTCCCGGCGTAGGAGCATCTCTAGAGAACTGCCCAGGCTGCTCGGGGGGCAGCTTCCCCTGGAGCAGAGAGGACAGTGTGGACATGTGCTTCCCTTGCCGCGCTCTGGACAAGGCTTCTGTGGGTCAGGGTCAGGGGAGGCACCTAGCACGGTTATGGGGAAGTAGGCCTCGTGGCCAGATCTGAGTTCCCAGTCCACTCCCCTGCACAGTCCCTCTGTGGCCTTGGCCAGAGAGCTGCAGATGGAGAAAATGCAGCCACCTCAGGGTGGCGTCACCGCACCCAGGCCAAGGGGAAGGCCGGGGCATGCTGTGCGAGCTCAGTAGCAGATGCTAGAGACGCTGCGTGGCACTGGAACCTGCCCCTGGTGGTCCTGAGGGAGGACCCTCGGCCTGGACCAGAGCTTCTGACCTCAAGGCCGTAAGCGAGTGGGGCGCCTGCCGCAGGCCCCATAGAGAGGCGGCATCACCCCTCAGCAGACGGTGGAGCCTCTGTGACATTGTCATTTTCCTGTAGCGACTTGGCTGAAAAGTCCACATCCTGATGCAGAACCTCTCTCTGCCAGTGTCCTTCAGTGGCACAGGAGTGAGCGTTCGGGAGTTCTGAGGGACCAGACGTCCTGCAGCTGGAGAAGGCTCTGCTCTCGGCCTTTCTCTGCGTGGCCCGAAAGCTTCCTGTGGAAAGAATCGCGTGACGTGCAGCCGTGTCCCGTGCTGACCCTCGGCAGGGAAAGATCCTGGGCTCCGGTCTGGTGTCACAGGCTGCTGGTCCCTCTTGAAAACCTGCCTTTTGGAGAACTGGAAGGGTGACAGGTCCTTTGTCCCCTGCATTTCATCCTGATTCCGACTTGAAGAGAAGTTATGAAAGGGAACAACGCGGACAAGAAAAGATTCCCAGCATAGTCAAGCCACAGGTGACGTCTCGGCAGCCTGACCTAAAGACCAGTGGGCACGAGCTGTGATGGACCCACCCCGCTGCAGAGCCCAGGGTCTTCTCGTCACGGGGCTGTTGGCACAGAGATGATGCCCTGCTGCTCTGCCTGACAGTGAGGAAAATACACTCAACTATTTTTTCTTTGTTTATATAAAAAAAATTACCAGATAAACATCTGGAGGAGCATCATCCTCTCTCTTAACAACAACAAAAAATCCTGGGAAAAAGTCGTAGGATGCTGAATGTTGCTCAGATCAGACTTGGGCCAAATGATAGCTTTCTTAAAAAAGTTAGAGTTTCAGAGACTTTCATCTCTTCCTGTGGTTTTTCAAAGAAGCAGCTAAGAATTTTCCAGGGTTTTCTCTTTCCTTCTAAGCAAACGGGCAATACTTAAAGCTGGGTCTTCCTCACGGGGGCTCCAGGGAGAAAAGCAACCTAAACATTCCCATAGAGAGCCCTGTCTTCCGAGGGGTGTACCTTGGGCAGACCCCACTGAACGTCCCAACTCCTCAGTAGAGAAAGTCAGAGCGCCAGAGGCACAGAGGGGCAGCAGGACCCAGTCGCTGGAGCCACCCCTCAGGAAGGCTCTCTGAGATAGGAGAGGCCTCCCAGGCAGCTGCCCCAGGTCTCTGTCTGACACTGTGGCTCACCATCCGCGGCCAAGAGGTCAGCTGTGCGGGGTCTCGCAGGCGCCCGTGAACTCAGGGACAGAGTCACTGCTCATGCCTGCTTCTCCCACGGCACGGGTGGATGAGGAAAGCAGGGTCTCGGGTGGAGGTGGGATCATCACTGTAAGAGCAGGCCGTGGGGGACCCAGGGGGGAGGGGCAGACTCCACAAGAGAAAGCACAGCGTGGCCCTTGGGTTTCAGAGAGAAACGCCCGCAGTAGGACTGGAAGACCATCTTGCTGTGTTGACGGGATTCGGCTTTGGAGGGGAGGAAATGACATGGGGCTGTAGAGTGTGGCACTTCCCCTGGAAGAAGGGCTGCAGACATAGGTGTGGATCCCGTCTTTAGGCCATGGTCCAAGAAATGGTGATGACCAGTACAGACAGCATTGAGTGAGTCCTGCCTGTGTAACACAGGGACCGTTGGGTGCTGGAGAGGGAGACTGGACCTGCCAGTGAGGCCACCTCCACTTCTGGAGGAGGGAGTGTCGGCCAGGACCAGTGAGGTCCAGCTCCACCGCTGGAGGACGGAGTGTCGGCCAGGACCAGTGAGGTCCAGCTCCACCGCTGGAGGACGGAGTGTCGGCCAGGACCAGTGAGGTCCAGCTCCACTGTTGGAGGAGGGAGTGTCGGCCAGGACCAGTGAGGTCCAGCTCCACCGCTGGAGGACGGAGTGTCGGCCAGGACCAGTGAGGTCCAGCTCCACCGCTGGAGGAGGGAGTGTGGGCAAGGACCAGTGAGGTCCAGCTCCACCGCTGGAGGAGGGAGTGTGGGCCAGGACCAGTGAGGCCACCTCCACTTCTGGAAGAGGGAGTGTCGGCCAGAACCAGTGAGGTCCAGCTCCACTGTTAGAGGAGGGAGTGTCGGCCAGGACCAGTGAGGTCCAGCTCCACCGCTGGAGGAGGGAGTGTCGGCCAGGACCAGTGAGGTCCAGCTCCACTGTTGGAGGAGGGAGTGTCGGCCAGGACCAGTGAGGTCCAGCTCCACTGTTGGAGGAGGGAGTGTGGGCCAGGACCAGTGAGGTCCAGCTCCACTGTTAGAGGAGGAGTGTGGGCCAGGACCAGTGAGGTCCAGCTCCACTGTTAGAGGAGGGAGTGTCGGCCAGGACCAGTGAGGTCCAGCTCCACCGCTGGAGGAGGGAGTGTCGGCCAGGACCAGTGAGGTCCAGCTCCACTGTTGGAGGAGGGAGTGTCGGCCAGGACCAGTGAGGTCCAGCTCCACTGTTGGAGGAGGGAGTGTGGGCCAGGACCAGTGAGGTCCAGCTCCACTGTTAGAGGAGGAGTGTGGGCCAGGACCAGTGAGGTCCAGCTCCACTGTTGGAGGAGGGAGTGTCGGCCAGAACCAGTGAGGTCCAGCTCCACCGCTGGAGGAGGGAGTGTCGGCCAGGACCAGTGAGTTCCAGCTCCACTGTTAGAGGAGGAGTGTGGGCCAGGACCAGTGAGGTCCAGCTCCAAGCTGGAGGAAGGAGTGTGGGCCAGGACCAGTGAGGTCCAGCTCCACTGTTGGAGGAGGGAGTGTCGGCCAGGACCAGTGTTCAAGTTAAAATTGAACCACTTGTCACCTGCATGAAGACAGGGGCGGGCCCTCTTGGTGGGTGGCACAGAGGGAGGTGGAAGGCACAGTCCCACAAGGGTTGGCGTCCAGATTGGAGAGGAGTCCTGAGGGCGCCACCAGCTCTGGAGATGGAGGTGCAGGAAGGGGCTGGCGTCCTGCCCTGCCTTTGGGACTGGACAGCCTCCAGGGGACCAAGGAGCGTGCAGGTGGGGTCACAAGCCCACCCTTGGAGCCTGTCTAGTGTGAGGGGCCCCTGCCAAGGCTGGGTCATGGCAGCCTGGAGACCCAGGTGTTAGTGAAGAGTCAGTCCAAACACCCCAAGGTCAGCGGCTGCCATGGAGAGCCCACCCTGGGGAACTGGGGGCCTGTGACTCTGAAGGACTGAACGCTGCTGCCGCCTGCTCGGAACAGGGCCTGTGCCGGCTGACACCACGGGTCTTGGATGTCCCCTGGGCTGCCCTCAGCCATCTGTGTGGTCCACGACCTGCCTTGTGCCTTGGTGGGTGGGGGCAGCGGCCATCAGTCTGGGCCCCGCTGCCCCGAGGCTGCGGGGTGTGTCTATCCGTGACGTGAAGAGATGGGGAGTGCCAGCCAGGGCCAGGAGGTCGGAGGGTCAGATGGACGCCAGCTTAAAATAGGCGCAGAGAAGGGAGGCCGTGCAGACCCCAGGGCGTTGGTGTGCGGGACAGATGGCGGGAAAGGTGGCGGGAGAGGTCTGGGCCCTGAGTGAGGAGCGTGTCTCGGCCGCCAGTGCTGGTGGTCCTGGGGAGGGGCAGGGTGGCCTTCCGAGGGCTCTGACTGCCTGCTGTTTCAAAGGTTCCTGTTTCTGCACACGCCCTGACAGCGCTGTCAGAGCTGGACCTGTGGCTGGCCCGGCAGGCTGAGTGCCACAGCTCTGAGCTCAGGGAGTGGACCCCGGCCCGCGTGGTTTTCTAGGTCCTCCTGGGCACCAGCGTCTGCCGGAGTGGGAGGCCGCAGGGTACGAGGCCTGGCTTTCTGAGCATGGCTGTGAGCCGGCAGCGTGGGCCCTGCCTCCCTCCTGTGGCTCCCGAGGCTGTGCTCTCAGATGTAAGGCGAGCATGCCTGCACCTGTCCAGTCCCCGAGGGGAAGCACCCTGTCTGCATCTGACGAAGTGATGCCCGCTGACGTTCCAGCTTGCTGTGTCGGGGCCCTGACGGCCTTTCCCAGCCCAGGCAGCCCGTGGAGGCCACGTGGAGCACCGAGGCGCTAGTCAGAGTGATACAGGCCAGGAGATGCACTCGGATCCCCTCTCTGCCATGTGTGTCCACCCAAGCAGGTTCTGAACCTCCGTCACCAGAGCACGTACCGGGATGCCCGTCTTGCAGCGCTCTCTGCCTGGTTTCCCGGCAGGCACGGCCTGGGACGGTGGAGTGCGCAAGGCCTGCAGCCTCCCTGGCTTAGGCTCCTGGAAGCCCCCTGGGCCTCCTAGCTCACCAGGTGGCCCAGGCATCCTTCTCCTTCCGGCAAGGCCTGCTCGTCTTTCCCCTTGCCGAGGAGCAGTCTCTCCTAAGCACGAGGTGCAGGAGTGAGCATGGGCGAGGCAGGCGGGCTCTGGGCCTGGCGCTCCCACCTCACAGTCCTTCAGCCTGGAGCACCTTCTGAAGCCTCCACAAATCACCTGCTGGTCAGAGAACCGCAGGGAGTGGCAACTAGCCAGGGGCCTCGGACACCTGCCAGCACTCACCGGCCCCTTCCTGCAGCTGGGAGCACAGATGGTGGGGCTGCGCAGGGCCAGAGGCGAGCACTGGATGCAGGCAGTGCGCCCTGTGCAGCCTGGCTGTCTCCCGCCTGCTGAACTGGGCACTGCCATGCCTCTCGGCTCAACCCGGGCACCACTGGGTCAACTCAGAGAGCTGGCGACGTCGGGCACTGCAGGAACCAGGAACCAACTGACTCAGCCGCCTGCTTCCCTCCAGGGGGCCGAGCCTGGGCAGCCCCCTGGGCAGCTCGGTCCAGTGACAGGCCCCTGAATCCCACCTCATCAGTGCTGGGAACATCGACCCCCGCCTGAGCGTGACTGCAAAGGCAAAGCTAACCTGTGAATTGGTTCAGAGTCTAAGTCAGATGCAGTTTTAAAATTGAAGACTGTAAGGTGTGCGATAATATTTATGTGTAACAGGTGTTTTCTTACCCCTGGGGCGGCTCTCCCTTCCTGTCCCCACACTGCCGGTCCACTCTGCTAAAACACCAACACTGCTCACACTCAGAACAGGCAGGTTCTCCTGCCTCGGGGCGGTCTGCCTGCTCCCAGAGGTGGCTGCTCACCCAGAGGGCGGAGGGCGGGCGGGCTTGGCTGCTGGGTGAGGCCGTCTGCTGAGCTCAGCCACACTGAGGACGCGGCCTCTCCTCTCTCCACGCCCACAGGACAGAGCACCCGCTGGCCCAGCTGTACTGCCACTCCATCATGGAGCACCACCACTTCGACCAGTGCCTGATGATCCTCAACAGCCCGGTGAGTCCCCCTCTGCGGCTCCCGCCTGCTGCTCCCACCTGCAGCTCTAAGCCTGAACACGCGCCCTTCTCTTTTGGGTAGCAACAGGAACCAGATCCGCGGAGACCTCGCAGCGCCTCTGCCAACCAGAGCCGTCTCCACGTTGCCCCGTAGGTTGCGGGGCTGCGTTGGCCGCCCCGTGGGAATGGCTCTGTGGCTTCTGCAGCCTGGGGTTTGCTTTTGGAGTCACAGCTCTCCTCTCCCACTGTGGCGCTGGGCGTTGGCTTGGCCTGGCGCACACTGAGCACTGCTGTGCCACCAAGAAGCACACAGCCTTCTCTTCACTAAAACCTCTAATGCTACCATGTTGTCAAGGAAGGGTGCTGTTGGACGGCCGGGGTGCCTGGACCGCTGTCCATGTGCGCAGACGTAGGCCGTGCACAGAACCTCCCTACCTAAGGGCAGTAAGGCAGGAGAGGAGCACCAGGGCATTTGAGGGGGCGTTTGCCGAGCGCAGGCCTCGTGCCTCCGTGCCATCTCTGTCTGCTCGTGTGACCCGGGTGACAGAGGGAAGTCCTGACTGCTGTGCTGACAAGCACTGGCATGGGTGACCCCAAAGCATACACATCACCTCGTCTGTGGGTGGGCCCTGGGCTAGTGCCTTTGTGAGCCTGGGGACAATACCCAGAGTCCAAGGCAATCTCTGTCCCTCCTTTGTAAGTTAAAGTCCTCCAGCTCCCTTAGGTCCCACCATGTCGTCCCTGGTTCTCAATGGAGAGGCCAGATGGCCGGTGCCGGGGAGTTGGGAGTTTGATGTGAAGGCTCAGGCTCCCCCTTCCTGAATGGTGGCTTCCCTCTTGCTCCCGTGAGCTGCTGCTAGCGCCTTCCTCACCCACACCTGCCTGCAGGCCTCTCCAGACTTGGAGAGCAGGCGTCGGAGGGCCGGGTGCTCTCAGCCCTGTTCTGGTAGGAAGCCCCTGTGCCAGGAGCCAGGGAGCCCCGTGGAGCACTTCCCTCTGGGCAATGCGTGCTCCCCACAGAGCACCCCCGAGTGGGAGCCAGACAGCCTGGCCCTTAGACTCCCTGTGTCAGGGAGGTGTCCAGACGCAGGTCCTGGCCCGTCCCCTCACCTGCAGGACCTTGCACAGGACCTGCTGGCTGTCACTTGAGGTGTGAGGACCTGCTCCCACTCCTCATGACCCTGGTGTCATGGAGGTGAAGATTCACGCAGCCTGCTCCAGCCTCCGCAGAACGTCCCATAGATGGCCTCGTGGGGGGCGTGGCCAGGGCCTATGACTGTCACGGCTTGGTCCCTGTGTCACTGCAGTGTACTATAGGAGCAGTTCTTACACAAGTTGTCGGGGCTCCGATGAGCCAGAACTGTGGGTGCTGGATTTTGAGTTCAGCAGGGAAGGAAGGCCCCCGCCCAGTCTCCTGGGGGCAGGGTCTGTTTTAAGAATGTTAGACAGGCACCCCAGGAGGTGTTGGCGGTCACCTGGGCCCTGGCCTGCCTGGCTTCGCCTCAGCGCCCACCTTCTCATTTCCACTGCTGGTTTCTCACTCTCACATCTCAGGGGCACTGGGGACCTGCTCGGCCAGAGGTCTGGCCTGGGCCTGGTTCTGTGCAGGGGTCTCTCCTGACCCTGTTTTCCCCGTAAGTGTGCAGCTTTTCAAACCAAGACTCTGCAGAAATGTGTGTGTGGTGTCGTGTGGAAAGGCCGTGCTGTCCTCCTGGCAGCTCTGCCATCCGCGTGCTGGAAGTCCTTCTTTTACTGGACAGGACAGGTTACGGTGTGTTGGCACACGTGGAATCGGCTGTGCGTGTGTCGGCCTCCACAGCGAGGCCTGCTGTGTAGTTCATCTTTTAACATGATGTACAGAAGTTACAGCCTCTGCTTGGGAAGGAAAACTAAGAATGTAGCACTAAAGACGCCTCCGGTTGTGCTTGAGGTTGTTTTATCTTGAATACAAGCATCTCTGCTTGGCTCAGAATCTAAAATGACTCAGTGTTTAGAGGACCTCTATGTCCGTGGCTGAGTGACGCGTTTCGTCATTGATTCAGCCATGCCACTGCTGCAGTGCTTCGGCTCCTCTGGCCCTCGCCTGGACGGCCGGCAGGTGCCTGGTCCTCACCGCAAGCCCTCTGCCTCCTGGCCTCGTTCCCAGGCCTCTGGGCTCTTGTTGGCGCTGATTAACGAGACACATCTGACTCCGTTCACAGATGTTCTGGGCGCCTTCTGTGTGTCTGCGCTCTGCGTTCTACTCCGTCTGACACTAGAGAGCCACCAAGGTGTGTGGATTCACCTGAGGATCCTTCTGGGCTTATCACAGAAGCCACAGGGCCGTGACCCGGATCGTCAGTTTGACCCTCGCAGCTCCGCTCCTGACACCCCTTCACTTCTCAGTTTTACCTGCTGTTAGATTGTAGCCCAAAACCTGCCAGAAGGAAGAGTAGGTGGCCAGGAGATGTTCTGTCTGTGCTCAGGCCTGGGGAACAAGTGGCATGTCACCCAGGGTGGCGGGGAAGAGCAGACGGTGCCATCTCCCGCGCCGCTCGGGGCAAGTGACCGGAGCTGTGTTCCAGATGTCGCAGATGGCTCCCCGCAGCGTCTCTGGATGGAGTGCTAGTGATGCTTCTCTTTTCTCTGTCAAGGGCAATCAGATTCTCAGCGGCCTCTCCGTTGAAGAATACAAGGCCGCGCTGAAGGTGATCAAGCAAGCCATCCTGGCCACAGACCTGGCGCTGTACATCAAGTGAGTCTCAGGAGACCCCTCCGAGGCAGGTCTTGCAGGCTTCCTGCACCAGGCCCAGGTCTGGGCAGTCCTCAGACCCCTGGCAGCGCTGACCCTCAGGTGGGCGGGGAGTTTTAATTTTAGCAGCCAGAGAACTCTGTCCCGTTGCTCACTGGGAGCTAAAACTCACAGAACACATGGCTGTTTCCCTTCTTCATCTCCCATGGTGTCTCTGAAGCCATGATCGCCCAGATCTCTGACTCAAGGTCATTCCTGCTGAAGGTTCCTGGGCCTGTGGCCTTCCCCCTTTCCCACACCCGACTCACTCCATCCGCACCTCCTTCCTGCCACCATCCAACCCCGGGGGCAGGAAGAGCTACCAGAGCCAAAATAGCAGCTCAGGGTTCTTTTTATTTGATTTTGGCACAAGAAGGGGACATTCACGTACAACTTTGAGACTGTGAAGGTGGCGTTTGTGATTGTGCACCTGCCCAGCAAGGCACTTCTCCGAGAGCCCGACAGTCGGGGGTTCCCAACTCGCAGGGAGAGTGCTGGTGCTCTGTGAGATGGGGAGTGGGGGTCCCCCGATTTCCCAGGAGCACAGCCTGTCCTCTGCACGAGGGTCCTTGGGCCAGTTTGAGCCACTGTTAGGGGAAGCAGAGCAGACAGCATAAACACCCAGCCACCTACGCCAGATGTCCACTGTCGAGGCCCCAGCAGCACCCACACACCTGCTGCGCGAGGGTGGACACTGAGTTAAGGAGAACAGAAGGAAACACAGTGAACTTCCCGTCAAGTAACTGCTGAGTAAGGACTGCCACATGACCAGGCACTTGAGAACGACCTGTGACCTCACAGCCTGCCCAGGCCTTCTGGGCCTCGTGGGTCTCACCTGACCAGATGACACCTGCCTGACTTTGGTTCTCAGCAGGATGGTCAGTGCCGTCCCACGGGCGTTCCTTTCCCTGGGTCTGTCTCCAGCTGGACCTTGAGCACTGTGCCGAGTAGTTCTTCAGATACTCAGCAGTGGTGGGCCCAAAGCAGCTCCACCCGCTGACCCTGCCAGCTCCTGGGATGACCACAGAGGCACACTAACTTACCAGGCCTTCCTTGGCTTCCAGAGCCTTGCGCTCTATTTCACAATGTGTAGGAACACGGTAGACAGAGCTAACGTGAACCTCTAGGTCTCATTAGGTCCCGACCTTAAAATGCCTTAGATCTCACTTGATGTCACACTTTTTACTCACTTTTTTATTAAAATATTCCAGAATTGAAATGACTGCTCTTTGTGGTTAAAAACCAGGTGAAGTTTAACCTTCCACCAAAACCACGCGAGCAGAGGGAAAGTGAGGAATCAAGTCTTTTCAGATGGTGGTCTCCTGGGCCATAGGAGGGAAGGTGTATCCATGACCCTCTAGGTCACGGGGGAGAGCAGGGGACCTCATAACTGCCTAATGTTTTCTGTATTTCAAGGAGGCGAGGGGAATTTTTTGAACTCATAAGAAAGAACCAATTCAACCTGGAAGACCCTCATCAGAAGGAGTTGTTTCTGTGAGTCATTCTCCCGCCATCTGTGGAGGCCTCGGTGCTGGCTGGCCTTGGTGATTGTGGTCCTCGGTGCCTTGAATACCCCTGGTGCACTGGCTTTCTGTGGTGGATTGAGTGCCATCTTCTGCCTGGTGTGGGTAGGCAAGAGGTGTTTCAGGTTGGCATGTTCTGCAGTGAGCTCCCCGCACCCTGCGAGGCCTAGAGGGACAGAGGGGTGCTCTGTAGTGAGCTCCCTGCACCCTGCCATTCCTAGAGGGACAGAGGGGTGTTCTGTAGTGAGCTCCCCGCACCCTGCAAGGCCTAGAGGGACAGAGGGGTGCTCTGTAGTGAGCTCCCCGCACCCTGCGAGGCCTAGAGGGACAGAGGGGTGCTCTGTAGTGAGCTCCCTGCACCCTGCGAGGCCTAGAGGGACAGAGGGGTGTTCTGTAGTGAGCTCCCTGCACCCTGCCATTCCTAGAGGGACAGAGGGGTGTTCTGCAGTGAGCTCCCTGCACCCTGCCATTCCTAGAGGGACAGAGGGGTGCTCTGTAGTGAGATCCCTGCACCCTGACATTCCTAGAGGGACAGAGGGGTGTTCTGCAGTGAGCTCCCTGCACCCTGACATTCCTAGAGGGACAGAGGGGTGCTCTGTAGTGAGCTCCCCGCACCCTGTCATTCCTAGAGGGACAGAGGGGTGTTCTGCAGTGAGCTCCCTGCACCCTGCCATTCCTAGAGGGACAGAGGGGTGCTCTGTAGTGAGCTCCCCGCACCCTGCGAGGCCTAGAGGGACAGAGGGGTGCTCTGTAGTGAGCTCCCTGCACCCTGCCATTCCTAGAGGGACAGAGGGGTGTTCTGTAGTGAGCTCCCCGCACCCTGCCATTCCTAGAGGGACAGAGGGGTGCTCTGTAGTGAGCTCCCCGCACCCTGCGAGGCCTAGAGGGACAGAGGGGTGCTCTGTAGTGAGCTCCCTGCACCCTGCGAGGCCTAGAGGGACAGAGGGGTGTTCTGTAGTGAGCTCCCTGCACCCTGCCATTCCTAGAGGGACAGAGGGGTGTTCTGCAGTGAGCTCCCTGCACCCTGCCATTCCTAGAGGGACAGAGGGGTGCTCTGTAGTGAGATCCCTGCACCCTGACATTCCTAGAGGGACAGAGGGGTGTTCTGCAGTGAGCTCCCTGCACCCTGACATTCCTAGAGGGACAGAGGGGTGCTCTGTAGTGAGCTCCCCGCACCCTGTCATTCCTAGAGGGACAGAGGGGTGTTCTGCAGTGAGCTCCCTGCACCCTGCCATTCCTAGAGGGACAGAGGGGTGCTCTGTAGTGAGCTCCCCGCACCCTGCGAGGCCTAGAGGGACAGAGGGGTGCTCTGTAGTGAGCTCCCCGCACCCTGCCATTCCTAGAGGGACAGAGGGGTGCTCTGTAGTGAGCTCCCCGCACCCTGCGAGGCCTAGAGGGACAGAGGGGTGCTCTGTAGTGAGCTCCCCGCACCCTGCGAGGCCTAGAGGGACAGAGGGGTGCTCTGTAGTGAGCTCCCCGCACCCTGCGAGGCCTAGAGGGACAGAGGGGTGCTCTGTAGTGAGCTCCCCGCACCCTGCCATTCCTAGAGGGACAGAGGGGTGCTCTGTAGTGAGCTCCCCGCACCCTGCCATTCCTAGAGGGACAGAGGGGTGCTCTGTAGTGAGCTCCCCGCACCCTGCCATTCCTAGAGGGACAGAGGGGTGCTCTGTAGTGAGCTCCCCGCACCCTGCGAGGCCTAGAGGGACAGAGGAGCCTTGCACTGTGGTGCTTGCTGCAGGAGATGGCTTTGCCCGTCCAGCAGCAAGCATGGGAACACTCTGGACACAGCAGTGTTCTCATGGTCACTAGAGCTCTCTTCCAGGGGCTGCATGATGGTGGGCCTGAGAGCTCGTCTCCTGCCCCTCCGCCTGCCAGGTGGGGCCTGTCTGTCAGAGGCTGTGTGTGGCTGAGCATGCTCAGGGTAGCCACAAGGAGCCAGAGAATTAGGACCGCCTGACTCACGATAGAGAACTTGCTGTCACTCTTGGCGGGTAACCGTTGGAAGCGCTGTCCTTATGCTGCCACCGAGGGTAGCTGCCTGGTGGAGGTGGTGTCAGGAACTGGCAAGCTCTCTGCAGAGGTGGACCCCTTCTCTCTGTGCCCCTGGGGCTGACGGGGCAGGGAGGATGGACGCAGCGTCTAGGGCTGAGACCCAGCACGGCCAGCTTCCATGTGAGCCCTGCTCTGCCGTTCCTGGGGAAGGGCCTTGCGTGGCCTCTGTGTGCTGGGTGCAGGGTCGAGTTCATGTGAAGGGAAACAGGAGTCTGTCTCTTGCCTTGCAGAGCAATGCTGATGACGGCCTGCGATCTTTCTGCAATCACAAAACCCTGGCCCATCCAGCAACGGGTACGTGCCTTAGTGGTGATGAAGAGTAACTGAAATGTCAGCACCGGGGCAGCCAGTTCCTGAGGCCGTCTTCACAGCCGTGCTCCGGCCCGCTTCCCTGGCTCCGGCACTGTTAAAGCCGATGACTGAGCAGGGAAGCCTGTCATTTGCAGGAGATTCACTTGTACTTGGTATCTGATAGGTCAGGAAAGAGCATCTAGTTAACGCATAGCCAAGCCAGCTCCTGGGAAGGCTTAGTCTCAGCACTATTTGGGCTCACCTGGGGATTTTTTCAGCACATCCTTTTAATAAGATCGAAAATTAGAAGGAAAGTAATTTTCTTAGGTTGGCTTACTAGGCTACTCTCTGCTCTAAGTGGGCTTAGCAAGTGGAGTGTCCACGTTCCTGGGGCTGGTAGACGTGGGAGTGCTGAACGGATGTCAGGAAGCACCGGCCAGGAGCTCCTTCCTCGGGAGACCTGACTGCCTTGCTCTTTCTCAGGGCTGGAGGAGGCTCAGGGAAGCCACTGGGATGCAGAGCTGTCTGCGTGGTGGCTCAGTCCCTCGGGGTGTGCAGTCTTGGTGCCCCAGGGAAGGTGTGGACTTTCTGTGTGTCCAGCCCAGCTGCCGGTCATGGGCACAGCAGCCCAGGCTCATGCAGTGAAGCCTGCGGAGAAGAGAGACGAAATCGCCCCACGTGAGGAGGCTGGCAGGCCCTGGCACTCAGGCGGTGCTCACGACCTCCCTGCCCTTGTGAGATGGGACTGTAGGCCTGTTTCCAAACAGGAGGGAAGTGGAAGACGGGGTCTGTCTTCTGCATGAAACTACCTATTGTTTCATTGTAGGAAAAAAAATAAGAAAGGAAATTTGTTTTTATAAAATAAAAAGAAAAACTATTGGGAGCTACCAGAGAGAAGGCTGGGGAGGAGGCTGGTGTACTCACAGAGGCCCGCGGAGAGCACCCTCCACCTGCCTTGGGCCTCCTCAGCTACGCCCTGGACCTGCGTGCCGTCTGTCCAGTGGAGCTGGTTTTGAGGGCTGGATGGCAGTGCTGGCCTGGTCCACGGTATGGGCGGTCTGCAGGGTGGAGCTGGCCTGGAGCTGTCCAGCAGCTCTGCCGACTGCGGCGGCCCTTCTCTTCCCGACTCCTTTGTTCTCGGAGCTAAGCCCGCAACCCTGTGAGTGCCGTGACTGTCGACAGAAACCTCCACCACGTCAGAACCAGGGGACAAGAACACGAGGTCACACCCACAGAGATGGCATGGCACGTGTCGGGATTACCAAACTGACACTGCCTTAAAGAATAAATCGTGATTTACCCCAAGAGAGAAAAAAAGTGAGACTTTGTGTTGGAGCAAGTAGCCAATGGAATTAAATAAGCAAAAGTAATAAAGAATCATAAGAATTACAAATAAAGAAGTAAACTATCTCCACTTGCAGGTAAAACTATATCTGGCAAGCCCAAAATAAACAGTGGGCAGGCTAAATGAGCAAATCAGTTATAAGATAAAGTAGAAGAGAAGCCTCTGTGACGGGGAAGAGTAAATAAAAGTATTAAATACCTAAGGATAGACAAAACTTGCAAAAACTATATGAAAGAAATTAGAAAACATTTTGTGTTGCTAAAGCAGAAGATGAGACTGATATAAATGAGAAGGTGTAGCATGTTCTTAAGAGAAAAAAATTAGTAGAAAGGTATCGTTTCTCTCTCTTTAAGCCAATTTACAGATTTTAGGCTATTAAATTTTTGTTCTCAAGCTAGAAAAAAATGATTTTAAAATTTATTTAGGAGGGAGTAAAAAGCAAAAAGACACCCAAAATTTCTGAAAAGGTGAAGCAATGAGGTGTTGGTGTTCTGATATGGAAACAGTACTACAAAGTCTATAATCACAAGTGGTTTGGGTGGCAGATCAGCAGAACACAGGAGAACCGTAGATGGTCCAGAATTGCACAGTGTTCACTGTATAACAAATAACACTCCAAATATAGGAAAGAGCTTTTACTCAATAGTGTGGGCTGAGCGAATGACCAGGGGAGGGAGACAGGACGGGGTCCAGTGCACACATGTGGACTCCAGGTGAAGCCAGGATCTTCAGCAGAGAATCAGCCCACGTGAGTTCTAAACACCTGGTGGGCACCTGTGGGACAGGCTCAGGGTGCACAAAAGCAAAGGACCCAACCAACAGAGTCAGCCCCACAAAGAGGAAGCCTGTGCCCCCACAGACTCCAGGCACAGACACGGAGGACAACTGCCCGTGTACCTGACCGTTAATATCCGCAACAGACAAAGAGCTAAGGGCAGAAGAAAGATGCCAACGACCCTGTGGAAAAATGAGCCAGAGATGCGAACACAAGGTGGTGGCTTTCCTACCGGGAACGACTTCTCCTTTGAGTCATAAGAGAAACTGAGTTAAAACTACACCAACCCAGCAGGCCTGCACGGAACCCCGGGCCGGTGCTGTTCCCGACAGCCAGACCCTGGAGGGAGCCGGAACGTCCACCCAGGAGAGTGGGTCAGCGTGTGGCAGTGTACCCCTCGTACTGGGGGGTTCTGTGCCATTCAGGAGGGTCACAGATGACTCGGGAACGTGCCACACCAAGGGGCACAGCCCAGTGCCATTCACAGGAAGTTCTAGCACAGGCAGGCTGGCCTGTGGGAGTGGCCGTGTGCTTCTGGAGGGAGGGAGAGAAGAGCAGAGGACGACGGGAGCCTCCTGGGCACCTTCTGTCTCAGCGGGGTGGTGACACACAGGTGCGGGCATCTGCTGCTACGCCAACCATCCCCTTGGGATCCACACAGCTTCTCCCCCATCGCGGAATCCACAGGTTGACAAACATCCCGGAGTTTTGTAGCATGCTCAGTCGGGGCAGCTGGGGGACACTGAGGGCTCCGAGTCGCAGCCTCGAGGAGTATTCAGACTGGAGCCTGTTGGGCACTGCTTCTGGCATCTTATCCCAAAGACTCCGGGGAGAGCATGGAAGTGCTTATTCACGGCTGTTGGGAACAGCAGAGAAGCAGCCCACACACTCATCAGCAATGACTCAATAGACCACGGCCCATCCCACACAGACCCACGCATGTCATAGAAATGAGGGTCATCTCTGTGAAGAGTACAGAGAGAGATGTTTGTGTGAAAAAAGCAAGCTGGACAAAAAACGTGTTATGTCGCTAATTACATACGAAGGAGCAACATGTGAATATCTGTATTATGTAAATGTTTATATTAAAAACAGGTTTATCCACAAAGGGAAGTGAGTGACTTCCCACAGAAGGACAGTGAAAGGGGTGTGTCTAGCCAGAGTCCGAGCCCAGAGCTCCACCACGGCCTGTCGCGTAGGTTAGACTTGGACGTGCTAGCAGTTTTCCTGACTGTGAAACAAAATTGAGTGTATTTTTTAAATCATGAAATCTTGGACATAAAGGAAACAAACTTGATGTTTAGTCCTAGGAAGTGCTGATTCATTCTAAGGGACATTAAACCCTACCACCAGAAAAGACCGTAGGGAGCCCTGGGTGGTGCATCATCGGTGGCAGTTCTGTATTGACACAGCGTGGGCATGTGGCACAGAGGAGCATTAAGAAATTTCACCAGTGTTAAGAGCTAGGATTTCCAGCACAGACTGAGGCTTGCAGAAACCCTCTTGTCCTGAACTGGAGTTGGAGATGTTCTGTGAACCAGGTGTTCCTAGCTCGGGCCCCTGAGGGTGAGTGCAGTGAGCAGACCGGGTCCCGCCTGAGACCTCCAAGCCCTTAGCTAAGGAGCAGGCTGCATGCCACAGAGGTGGCCTGGCACCACCAGGAGGCTCACAGGACGAGTGGGAGACCGTCTCCTCACACCAACAAGGGGCCCCAAGACCCCGGAGAGGACCCGGCTTAGTGAGCCCCTGTGCCAGCATGGAGTCAGGATGGAAATGCAGAATTATATTCCAACCCACGAATTCAAATTAACACTAAAAATACTGAAAACAGCCTTCCGTGGTCATCTTGAGAGCCAGGTTATTTTTTTGAAGTGGGGAATCGGGCATTTCTCCTTTCTTTTATAGGTTAAAAACTGTAGGGAGCCTTGGGATAACTACACGATTGCCGTGGGAAGCTTCCCTCTATCCTATTTTAACTCATAAAGGAAAAGGGAATGTCGGCTTTGAACATCACCCTTTCTCAGCCCTGAGTTGACAGATGTAGGCAGAGATCATTAATGATTGCCAGCGTCACAGACGGGAGCACCTGGGCTTCCTGCAGCCACTGGTGGGAGTGCACAGCACTGCCGCGAAGGAGCCCCACTGAGACTGATTTCCGCTGGCCGGCCCCCGACCACAGGCCCTAAATGCAGGGGCCAGACCCAGCAGCCTCAGGGAGAGCATCTGCACATCCCGACTGCGAGACTGCAGGATAAGCCACCAGTTGTCCATCGAGGCAAGGAGAAACTGTGGGGAGAGCTGAGAGGGGACGTGTAGGTCAGAAGAAGCTGCAGGGACCGTCCACCCACCACCGTGATCAAGGGGCCTGTTGCTGCTGAGTCTTGGCGGCACCTGGACTAACGGGTGCTGAGTGAGCTGCTCACCTGCACATGGCACTGGCTGCCTCTCGCTGGCCAGCAGAAATGGCGCCTTGCTCTCAGTGCTCATCACAGAAGGTTGTGAGCGCCTCCCACGCAGTGAGTGAGTGCTGTCTGCGGGGCTCACCGCTGCGCGGTTCTGGTTATCGTGTCGGTGAGACACAGACCTGGCAGGTGGGGGGTCTCCACCCAGGGTCTCTGTTTTAAAGACTCACGTGCTTCTCCTTGCCTGAACTCAGCCCTTTGTTTGTTTCAGATAGCAGAACTGGTAGCAACTGAATTTTTTGACCAAGGAGACAGAGAGAGGAAGGAACTCAACATCGAGCCCACCGTAAGAACCCCACCTCCTGGCACTGCCCTGGGGCGGCCCAGAACCATGCTTTCTCACGCTTCTGTGAGGTCTTCCCCGGGGGACCCGGTGCTCTTTTGTTGCTCGGCACTTGTTCTGTTAGAAGTGTGAGTGTCACCCGGGAGGCAGAAGTGAGGAGAAGACGCTCCGCCCCAGGTGTCCCTCTGGCCCTGTAGCTTCTGATGACACAGGCGCTTGTGTGAGGCAGGTGCCGCTCTGCGACGTTTTCATGGCTGCGAGCCACACCTGCAGCCCCTCCTGGCACCTGCCCTGGCGTCACGATGCGTGGGGCCCTGCCACCTGCGGCACAGTTGTGGACGGCTGTTGCTGGACATGTGTTGCGCTCTTTACTGTCAGGAGGTTCCCAGAGGGAACAGGACTGGAGGCACAGATCTCCAGCAACAAAAGCTTCCCGCACCGCGTCCATCTCCTGCAAACCTCCCCAGTCTTGTCCGTCCCAGGGTGGGGAGTGCATGAGGCTGCCACCGGCTTCCCAGGCTGGCCCAGTTCATCTTTCAGAGCCCACTTTTGTTGTGTTCTGCAAACAAATGCACCCCTGTTTGTGTCTGTTTTCAGGATTTGATGAACAGGGAGAAGAAGAACAAGATCCCCAGCATGCAGGTCGGGTTCATCGACGCCGTCTGCCTGCAGCTCTACGAGGTATTTATGGGGAGCCCATGGTGTGCTGGCTTAAGGCATGTCATGAACTAAAGCCTGAAGAAATCCGAGAGATTGGCGCTAGGCACCTACTTTTTGTTCTAAACCGAGAAAAAAGGGAAAAAAAAGTAGCTTTGCTTCTTTTGCTGATAAATATGTTTGCATGGAGCAGGGAACACATTTTGTATTTGCTATTCTCAAAAACTTCATTCAGCTTAAAGGCCCACTGTGTGCAGGCCCAAGGGTTCCCACTGCGTGCTAGCTCACAGGCGCCTACTGTGTGGGGCCCCTCAGGGGTGTGGGAGGGTAGGGCGTGGCAGTGTCCTGAGGAGCTGCCGTGCACTCTGCTCTCCTGCTCTCTGCCCCACACCTGGGCCTCCACGAGGAAGCTGCCTCGACTTTTCCTCTCTGCCACACTGTGATTGTGATCTTAAGAAACTTGCCCCGAGGACGGGAAGGAAGTGTCTAAGGATGCGCAGGTTCCTGTCCCCACACTCCTGCTGGCTTGGCCTATTTGGACTTTTAGGAGTTGGGGGTTTTTATTTGTCTGTTCACATGTGAAGAGATTCCCCCCTCCCGCAATACCCAGTGGACTAGTTTAGATGCTATGACCCAAGGACAGAAAGAAGATTTCGTCTTTCAAAGTTCAAACAGAAAACTGCTTTTAGCCTTTGATTATTTGGGAAAGGAGCGTTCAGCATGGAGTTACCCTAGCACGTCCAGAACAGGGAGTCCTGGAAACCCCCGACCAGGGTGTTTCTGGCATTCAGAGACCGGGTTTGTAAAGTTCGTCTTCCAGGGAGAAGGACTCTTCACCCAGGCAGGTGGCTCCTGAACCACACCTGGGGTCCATCCAGAGAACACAGTAGGGAAGCGGTGCCCGGAGAGGAAGGGGAGCCCCTCCAGGGGCACCGGGCACGGCCCCTCCTCTCCTGCCTGCCCTCCCTGCTTATCAGTCCTCAGGAGCACCAGGCACTGGGCGTGGCACTCGGCAGGACTGCCACCTCCCCACGGCTGGTGGAGGCCCAGCTGAATATACAAATGGGGGTCTGGGCCTTTCAGTCCTTGTAGAGAGAGTAGTGTCAGATCACCTCTGCAGGGTCGTCCCCTGGGCATCATGTACATACAGAGACCCCTTCTCTGTTCGAGTCGGCCCTGAAAACGCCCTGTGAAGCGAAGCGTGTGACCTCCGCTTCCACAGGAGTGGCATGTTCTGCCGCAGGGACCAGCAGGGAGCAGCCACTCGGGCCCCACGTGGGGAGTCGCTGGAGGCAGAGCACGGCTGTGTGCTTCCCACTTGCTCCTGCAAGCAGGGACTGCGCCTCATGGCGTAGCGCCTCCTGGCTGCTGTGACCGTCTCTGTGCGTCTTTAGTAGGCACACCAGAGCAACACAGCACCCCAACCCCGTCACCGGTGCTATTCAGTGTGTCTGTTGCAAGGAAATCCTCCTCGATGACATCGCTGCAGCTGAATGCAGACCATGGTGCCACTCTGAGTGAGAACTGACCCTGACGATGGCCTTGGGTGAAAATCCCCTGTGCCTTGCATAAAGCCATTCTGCAATGCTGCAGTCTGGCTGGGCACAAAATCACGAGCCACTCACAGCCTTGTAGATTCAAACAGCAATTCTTTATTCCCGAACTCTCACCGGCCCTCTACACGCACGTTCTGGGCAAAATCCACACCTCCACTGGGCTCTGTATCCCAAAATACTCTCTGAATCCCGCGAGAACTCAACGGGAACTCAAGGAGCGGGCGCGCCTGAGGCAGCAGGATAGGCCCTATTCCCAGCAGGAATCACCTTAAACCTGGAACCGCCCTAAACCCAGAAGGCCCTAAACCCCCATCCGCCTTAAACCCTGATCTACCCTAAACCCAGATCCGCCCTGGTCCTTGAGCAAGGTCACCTTTCATGCAAAGTCACTGCAAATGACCTGGGTCCACCATGGAGAGTCCTTCCTCTAAGCAACATGGGGTAGGCTGACAAAGAAACTGCGATGCGTCACTCCTACTTGGCTCGCCTCTCAGCACTGCAAGCCTGCTAGTCACCCCCCGAAGCCGTCTGCACCACACAGAAACAAGCCCTGTTCCCCAAACAGCGGGTCCCACCCAGCCCAGCCTCCACACCTCGGTGCTGCGGGGGACTCCCTCCTGAGGTCCCTGTGTGTTGTCCACGTGGGAAGGCCAGGCTCCCGAGAGGAGTGGAGCGTGGCCTGGGCGGGCTGCGGCCTGCGTCCTTCCACCTGCTTCCTCTCTTCCTCTCCAGGCCCTGACCCACGTGTCGGAGGACTGCCGGCCCTTGCTGGAGGGCTGCCAGAGGAACAGGCAGAAGTGGCAGGCCCTGGCAGAGCAGCAGGAGAAGACGCTGGTCAACGGGGAGAGCGGCCAGGCCAAGCGGAACTGAGGGGCTGTTGGCGCGGCGTGGAGACTCCGAGGCACCTCTGGGAGCCCCAGCCCACTGTGCGCCGAGCAGACCGTCCACACTTGGCCACTGCTGTGTTCTTGTTTCTGCACGGCTTTCGAGAGCACCATGACGTGTTTTCAGGGGACGTTTCCACAGGTTCTGGGCATGTCTGTGCCGCGGGAAGCCCACGGCCAGGTGGGGCTGTGTGTGCTGGGGGGTGTGGGTGCCGCTCTGCCGCTGCTTCCTGCCTGGGTTTATGAGAACCGGCTCCCGTGGTTGGGAGTCTTGCTTGTCTCAAGAGGCCGGAAGGACTGTGTGTGAGCCCTGGTGGGCCTGCTGGGGGCCAGGTGGGGTTAGGAGGAACAAGGGTCTGCTCAGGTGGAAAGAGTGTGAGGCCACATCGCAAGGAAAATGCATCCACTGACCTGCTGCTTTGTGAAAGAATGGGGGTGGGGCTTGGCCATCCCCCCAGGACCCCCAGCAAGGGCCGCCCGTCTCACCTGCAGGGGTCAGCAGGTCAGCGGAGAAGCCCCATTCCACCACCAGCCAAACACATGCCGTGGGAGGTCCTGCTGAGAAGCAGTTTTGAAATCTGAACTTTTGAAAATAATCTTGTCCTCTTCCACGTCCTTCCAAACCACACCTAGATCCCAACGTGATTGTTGGAGCGCTGACCTGGAGGGACACCGGGCTCCAGGACGGAGCTCCATCTCTCTTCCTTCAGTCTGTCAGGTGGACCCTGGAGGAGAGTTGGACTGTGTCGGCAGCAGGGCTCTGATCCGGAGCTGTGGGCAGAGCTGAGGGAGCAGGAAGGGCACCTCCGCCCAGTGAGGTCAGGAGCACCGCGGCTGAGAAGCTGCGGTCAGCTCACAAGGCGAGCAGGGCCTGAGCACGAGGCCTGGGCACTGCCCTCGGCCCGCAGTGCGGGTGGCCCTGCAGCTCCCAGTCAGTGCGCACCCTCCTGGGGTTTGAGCCCACCTCAGCGTGCCCCTGAGTTCCCGCTGGCCCAGCGTTGGGGGAGTGGACAGTGGAGCAGGTGGCACCCGAGAGGAACTCTGCCCCATGCGTGCGGAGACCTTTGGATCTGGGGGGAGCAGGAGGAGAGACTTGGCCTGTCAGCGTCCACCTGCGTTAGTCAGGTTTGCTGTGACCAGAACAGCTGACGAGGACCACAGAGAGGAGCTCCGGGTTCAGTCCGTGGTGACCGCTTCGCTGCCCTGAGCCTGGTAGAGGAGGCACTTATCTCCCTGCAGCTGGGAAGGGGGCAGGGGCCGTGGTGGAGAAGCACCCTTGGGGCAGCCCCATGACCCACCTCCTCCACCACACCCCACCCACAGTCGCCCCCAGTGGGTCCCTTCCAGCCAGGGCGGCTCTCACCACCCGGTCTCTTCTCCTCTGCATGCTCCTGCCCCGACGGGAGCTCTGGGCACCTCCCGTGACCCGCAGCACACCCTCCCACTTTCTTACAGGGAGGGGAAGTGTCTGCTCTGGGTAGCTGTCACTAAGGTGGACAGGAGCCCTGGGTGTGGGTGTGCCGTGGCCTCAAGGTCTTTCAGTGCTCTTGACTCCTGTTCACATCCTCTAACGCCCTAAAACTCAGCGTGTTCCCCTTAGTGCTGTGCGTGCGTGTGTGTGTGTGTGTGTGTGTGTGTATGTGTGAGCCCCCGGCTCTATTCCTGCCATTCAAGTCCAGAGAAGAGGCAGGATAAAGTGTGGCCATCACTGCACTGTGAGGCGCGTCCAGGGAGCTCTAGCTGGTGTTGCGGACCTGGACCTTCAGAATGTTTTATTTCATGACACAGGTGAAATCTAACATTGCCTCTTGGTGGCACTGGAGTGTGAATTACACAGACTCACCAGCAATCGTCGTGTCTGCACACGGAACGCACCTGTGCACGCGTGCATGATTCTCTAGGGTAGACTCTCTGACAAGCTTCATCACACACCTGTTATGCCAAAATACAGAGCCGCCCACTCTCGGGCAGTGTGCTCAGGCCCCTCTGGCGTGTGCCGCGAGACAACGCCGATTCTGCGTGGAGGGTTTGGATGTGTGTTTCAACAAGAAGGAGATGCATTCAGCTTAGGCGTTGGTTTGTTCTTAGATAGCAGCTTATTTTGTGTCACTGGTTTGGACCGTGAAGGAAGTTAGGCAGGGCCAGGCTCCGTGTCGCCACCGACACTGCAGCTCCGAGGCACCCCTGTGTCTGCAGGGCACGTCCTGGCTCCGCGTCCCCACTGGTGGGAACCAGTGGCAGATGGGGACTGCTGCCTGGGGGCAGGGCACAGATCAGTTTTTCTTCTGTGAAAGTTTCCTGTCCAGGATCTTCAGGCTGGAGACAGAAACAGTCCCCCTCACCCCACCCTGTATTCGTGGTTGCTGGGTTGGTTGGTCACAGCAGAGCAGGGTGATGCCACTCCGCCTCGGGGTCAGCCGAGCAGTCCCGAGCTTTACTGGCGGGGCCAAGGGTGTCTGTGAAGCTCCTCCCCCTGTTCTCGAGCCCTGGCATTGCAGGCACCGCCCGCGTGCATTCAGGGCGCACTTGCCCTGAGCCTGAATGTTGTATTGTACAGAGCTGGGGAGGGCAAGGACACAGCCCCCCCGTGCCACAGGCCTCAGCCCACAGGTCCTTCTCACTTGCGTTTCCAAGATGGAGAAGCCAAGGACGCACTGCTCCCCTGCCGGTCCCCTAAACGCCTCACCTGGGCACAGACCAGCTCCTGGCCACCATCGGTGGGCGGTCTCCCTGTGAGCAGTGCTGGAGCTGGGGGAGCAGTCTGGAGCCAGGTCCCTGGAGGGAGCTGCGTCCCCAGCTCCTGCCGGTGCAGTGCCTTTCCCTCGGCAGGTGGCACAGGGCACACCTGGCCCAGAGCGGCCCAGGCTCTGGCTCCTGCTGTGTTTCAACAGGACTGAATCAGACGCAGCGGCCGCCGTCCTCTCCTGCGGCCTGTGGGGGTGGCTCGGAAGGAGGTGTGTCGGGCTGAGCCTGTGCCCGGGTAGGAAGGGACACCACAGGGCCCGTCACTCCTCCCGTGCCCGGGCTTTTCCTCACCCCAGGCCTGCGCAGGGCCCTTCAGTGCGTGTCCTGCGTCCTCGTCCTGTGACAGCCTGGGGAGCAGCCAGGCAAGAGCAGCGTCTGCCCCCGCGCTGGCCAGGCTGTCGCGGCTGTGAACTGGGCAGTGCCGACCTCTGCTCAGGGGGCCCTCCCACACCTCCGAAGGCCCCCGTGGACACGTCCTTGAATGTAGCCGGAAGCCATGGGATCGTAAAACTGTGGATTGGTCCTGCAGCTTGGGAGAGGAGCCCGAGTCCCACAGCCACTGCCCCTGCCTGTTTGTACCTTAGGCCTTTTCACTACATCTGAACAAATATATAGTTTCTGACACTATTTTTATACTAGGACGAGGGAGTCACTGTGTACCTCATGTTTAGCTTTGTAATCTTGGTCACTGTCCTCTCCCACCCCTGAGCCACCCAGTGGCTCTTCTGTGCCACTCACCACCTCTGGCAGCTGTGAGGCCACCAGCCGGCCAGGGAGGCTCCTGCACTGTGCAGACCCTCCCATCTGCTTCCTCCAGTTGCCCTGCTTTGCAAAATAAAGAATGAACTGGTCCATGAGTGCCGTGTGGTTGTCAGGGGACCTGGGGTCTTTCCAGTCACAGACTGAAGGGGACTTTGGGTCTTGGGCGGGGGAAGTCGGCCCAGGGGTTTGAGACACCGAGATGGCGCCCACCCAGGTCCCACGGGGAGGAAAGGCGTGGCTTGGCCCCCTGACCTCGCCTGCCCTCCTCCCAGCGTGGCCCTCCTCCGGGCAGGGCCTCGCTGCCCTCTGAGCACAGCCAGGTGTACACAACCTGGCATCCCGTTCAGGTTCACCTGTGAGTGGGTGACACCATGTCAGTGCTGCTGGCCGAGGACCCTACCCCGCTTACTGCCTGCTGGACAGGCCCCAGGTGGCCTGTCCAGGCTGCTCCTGGGTCAAAGCTGGGGGAAGTCCGTGCCTCCAGGGGACAAATGGCTTCCCCTAAGGGCCACGAGAGGGCACGGTTTCCAGGTGTCTTCCTTCCTGGCCATAAAGAAGGGATGAGAACGTTTTGGGTAGAAAAAAGAAGAGAAAAAAAACTATGAGGGAGGGCAGGCAGGCAGGAAGAGGATTTAAGGAGAATAAGTAGGGAAAGTGGGTACTCTCTGACGCTACCTGCAGGAGAGCCACAGGGCCCTGCCCCAGCACAGCACAGGGACAGGCTCCCTCCCTCCCTCTCCCCATAGGCTGGGAATGTCCCTCACAGGCCCTGCCTGGGCACGTGTGTGTGTGTGAGCATGTGTGTCTGTGACTGTGTGTGTCTGTGTGTCAGTATGTGTCTGTGTGCGTGTCTCTGTGTGTCTGTGTGTCTCTGTGTGTGAGTGTGTGTGTGTGTGTGTGTGTCTGTGTTTACTGGCTTCATTTTTAGAGTCATTTGGGGATCACATCAGAACTGAATGGAGAGTGTAGAGGGCTCGCACGCCCACTGCCCACTCCACTGTGCTGACGGGGATGCATCCACACCTGGAGGTCTGAGGGCCTAAACCAGTGGACAAAGCCGTGTCCCCCAGGTTCACTGCCCGACAGTCCTCTGCTCTGCCTGCTCCTCCCTCTGTCCCCCCAGCCCCTGCTGTCCCCCGCCTTCACTGCCCCCTGGTTTCCCTGTGGCTGGGTGGGTACAGCAGTGCTCCCCGTCGGCTCCCTTCACTCAGAGGGTCTAGCTTGCCTCTGTGTCTCCCCTGTCTGCCTGGGCTTGGTAGCTCGCTTCCTTCAGCTCTGAAGAGGACTCCGTGGAGGGACGGGCCACCAGGAAGTGTGTACGTGGACAGGGTTCTTTTACACACTGCCGATTTCCCTGCCTGGACACCTCAAGGAAAATGTTCATTCAGTACACTCCTTTTAAGTCAGTGAAGACTGTATCGGGTAAAATAGGTTGTGTGAGTGTTTGGATGCTGTAAAATAGAGGTTTACATTTTCAGTGCAGAAGTAGCAGCTACAAGTAGACAAGTAGCCCTGCAGAGTGGACATGGAGTGCTACGGTGCTGATTCTGGTCAGTGCTTCTGTCTAGGGATCCAAGGGTTAGGGTTCCCTGGGTAGCTGCAGCTTGCCATGAGGGCACATCTGGAGGAGCCGAGTGGCTGTGCTCTGCCATTCCCTGAGCCCCCTCCAGATGGACGTCTCTGCCACCCTCCCAGCCCCCTCCAGGTAAACGTCTCTGCCGTCCTCCCAGCCCCTCCAGGTGGACGTCTCTGCCGTCCTCCCAGCCCCTCCAGGTGGACGTCTCTGCCACCCTCCCAGCCCCCTCCAGGTGGACATCTCTGCCGTCCTCCCAGCCCCCTCCAGGTGGACGTCTCTGCCGTCCTCCCAGCCCCTCCAGGTGGATATCTCTGCCGTCCTCCCAGCCCCTCCAGGTGGACGTCTCTGCCGTCCTCCCAGCCCTCTCCACGTGGACGTCTCTGCTGTCCTCCCAGCCCCTCCAGGTGGACGTTTCTCCCGTCCTCCCGGCCCCTCCAGGAGGCCCTGCTGGTGTTGTGTTTATTCCTGGCAGTCTCCTGTGTTAACTGTGGTCCCCTGTCACAAAACAACTCTCCCATCTGAGGATCCCACTGGCCAGGCTTTCGGAACCTCAATGAGCAATTTCAAAGACCCCGGCCCAACAGAGTGGGCTGCGCTCTGTGTTGAGACCCCCAGGCTGTCCTGCAAGCCCCTGGTTGAAGACCTGGCCATGTTGTTCTACTTCCCCAGGATCCCTGGAGGTAGGAGGAGAGGCAGCCCCAGTCAGTGGGTCAGGTGAGTCCAGGAGGAGACCCCACTTTGACCAGACAGACTCCAAGATGGCTCAACGGCAAGCTCACTGAGAATTTTGTTCTGTCTCAAATCATTTGGGTTTTCTGTCTCAACAAAAACACAGCAGAGTGCATTCATGTAGGGAAGAGAAGTAAAGCAGGGACAGCCCCCGGCCCGTGGGCACTTCAGAGCACTCCTGCAGGACATGGGATCCCTTACGTGGCCTGTCAGCTCCCCTCCTCCTTATAGGTCATGCGCTTGGAGGTCAATTAACTGCACATGGCCACAGTGATGAGCTGCAGCCTCTCACAGCTGGAGAAAAGGCAAACTGGACGTGGCCTGTCGAGAGAGCCGGGCCAGGAGGACGGGGCAGAGCCACCTTTACCTGGGGCTGACATGGCCCATGGGTGACTCATGGTCCCTAGGACCTGGGCGTGGAGGGCAAAGGTGCCCTTATCACCTGGTTGGTACAGCATATGGGGCAACTTGGGGAAACGGCATTCGCTGTTCATTCTCAGGACCCAGCCGTGGTCTAGCTTTGGGAGGGCCCTGGGGAAGAGCAGCCTGCCCCACCACACCATGTAGAGCAGTCTCCAGAGGTGCTCTCTGGTGGAGCTCAAGGTGGGCTGGTCCTCCAGCCTCAACTTTTCTGCTGACCCGCCTTCGCAGCCTCTTTAAAGCCTGGGCTGTGCTCTGGGCAAGGATGGCTGCCAACTGAGGGGCAAGAGGCTGCCCTGGCCAGAGCGAGGGCAAGTGGCCTTCCGCTGCTGTGCAGAGGCATCATCTGCTTGCTCCTCTGCTGGCCCACGCTGCGGCAGCCCGTGTTCCCGGCACCATGGCCAGTGCTTCAGGCCCGAAGAGGCGCCCGGCAGAGCACAGGAAGGAGGAAGCATGGACAGAGACTACAAGCCAGTAGCTCAGCCGGTGCTGGCTGCAGTCCACTGAGTCCATGGTGGGGTCCTTCACAGAAGAGCGAGGAGAGAAGCTCCGATCGCTCACTCCAGGCCAGAGAGCTGGGCCGGTACAGCTGGGAGGTGGCTGGGGTCCGGCCCCCAGGCCCATGCTCTCCTCCCCACAGTGCTGGCCCCCGTCTCTGAGAGCAGCTCCTTCCAGAGCTCCTGTCCCCACAGGCCAGGGGAGACTGTGGCACACACACCGCCACGCCGCTCTGTGGCCTGCAGACACACCTACCTGTGCTGTCCGGGGAGAGACTCCTGGACTCTCCTCCCCTGCAGAAGGGAGTGGGACCAAAGCCTGCAAATGGGCGTGTCCTCACGGTGTGCTGGTCCCTGCTGTTATCCCTCCTTCTCCACGTGGCCCCTACAGCCCAGTCCAGCAGAGACCAGGCGCCAGTGGCCGGTTATCTCTCACCCGAGGAGAAGGCGCTGAGGTGAGCACTTTGTGGCTGAGGGGTCAGAGTGCACTCGCCACACTTGCTGCTTCAGGGAGCACCCCAGGTTCTTGGTTTGCCCTGGAGAGGGTTGATAGGCAGCGGCGCCCAGCCGCCAAGGGTCCACGGCCTGTCAGTGGACCTAGGCATCAGCCGTGGCCTAGGGCAAACGAGGCCTCTGAGCTCACTGCTTCCAAGCTGGCCAAGCCCACCCTGTGGGAGCACACGCCGCTGGCTCCTGAGCCAGAGTACCAGTGTCCACTGGGCAGAGTGCCCGGCTGGGCTGGAGGAGCAGACAGGACCCGGCAGGACACGGGGCAGCCAGCCTTCATGCCTGACATACCTGGAGGCAGAAGCACAGCTTTTCATGTGCGATTTTACAAAGTCTGTTTCTCTAACTTAACTACTTCAGAAGTTTTCTCCTGAAGAAATTAAGATGTGTGTTTAAAAATACAACATATGATATTAAAATAATGGAAATTGCCAACAATAAAATACCTATCTCTTGGAGAGCTAATTAAATAAATTATAAAAGAATATCATGAGGCCATTTAAAAATATCATGTAGAAATAATTCTATTAAATGAATATATTAAGTTAAAAAATAGATTTTAAAACCCTATCTCTAGGACTTAACATTTTGTGAACAGTATGATTGAGTAGGCATGAAGCTGCTAATTACAACTGACTCTGGGGAAACAAACGTTCATGATCCAGTTGTTCTCACTTTTCTGCGTGTCCTCCTTTTCCTGACATGGGCCACTGTTAGTTCTGCAGCCAGGACAGGAGGAAGGCCTCAGAAGAGCTCTGGAGGGGGCAGAGCCGGGCAGCTGTCCAGGGGCCCCACCTGCATCCTGGGCTGGACAAGGCAGCTCTGACATCTCTGAGCCCTGGAGGACCTGGGCAGGGCTGGTGCTGCCCCGCCTGGCGGGGAGTGCCCCTAGCACACTCAGTGCCCGGTGGACAGGGTCACCACTGCCACCTCCTGCCTCCTCAGTGACTCCCTGGGCCACTGCCTCCTGTGGACTTGGTGCAAATTGAGGACTGTTCTTGTAGTCAGCTTGACCCCTCTGGCTAGAACACATGCTCCTGGACACACTGACCATTTCCGGAAAAAGCCTGGGGAATTGAGCTGGGAAGGAACTTGAGGATGAGCTACTGGCCCCTTGGCTCCTGGTCCTCAGCAGTCCCCTGTCCCCACTGGACCCTTTCAGTGCAGAAACTGCGGCTTCGTCTGGGGAACACTTTGAATTATTGGATAGATGACTTCCTGCCCTCCATGTCTGTCTTCACCTTCTGAGACTTGACTCTCCGAGTCACAACTCCTGGGCTGGTCCTCTAATTTTCTTTTCTTGCATATTTTCAAACTCTGTTTTTTGTCTATTTTTCATTGTTCCCCTTCAACTTTGTCTTCTAACCCCTTAAGGTTCCGCTTATTCTGTCACATTTCTGGTCCCCCAGAGCAGTCTGTGTTACTCCTTGCTTCAGTGCCTTGGTCCTGGGGGTATAAAATCCCAAGACTGGATACTTTATAAAGAGATTCATTTCTTATCGTGTTGGAGGCTGGGAGTTGAGGACCCAGGTGCCAGCTGCTGGAGTCTGGTGCGGGTCTGATGGAGGGGACAGGGCTCTGGACAGCTTCTCGCCCTTTTCCAAGGGCGCCAATTCCCTTGAGAGGCCAGGGCCCCCCGAGGGCCACACTTCTGGGTACACACCATGATCAAGCTTAACAGAGATCTTGGTTCAGCTGTGGAAGTGCATCTATCAGTCACTGGCGCTTAGGGTCATCTGTTCTCCTTCATACACAGACCTGACGTTGGACAGGCAGTGGCTGGGCAGCTGCCATTTAAACTGGAGATTTTGATTGATAAAGCAGTACACAAAGTGCATTTCAATGTGAGGTGCTAGACGGCAGAGCCTGAATTTCAAGGAAAGTGACTGACTTTAAGCTTTAACACCATAACATATGCAGGACAGTTTGGCAACTGATAAGTGACGAGGGGGTCGGCGGTGGTCCCAGTTTACACAGTTGTTCCCTGACCTCACGTTCCCACCACGCACTTCTGCCGGTCTCCTCCAGTGGGCAAGGTCTGCTCGGTGAATGGAGAGCATTCTTCCACACGTTCCTTTTTGTTTTGATTTGTTTGGGGATGGCATCTTGCTATGTTGTCCAGGATCATCTCAGACTTACAGACCTCCATGATCCCCTGGAGGAGCTAAAGCCATAGGCATGCACCACCGGCCCAGTCTTTGATAAAACGCTTCTAAATGCAGAACACAGCAGATGTTTCTATACTGAACTCAGCATGGTTGTAGGCACAGACGCACTTCTCCATTATAATCTGTTGCAGCTGGGCTCAGGAGACCACATTGGTCAAGAGTAGAATACAAACATGACCCTTCACCTGTGCAACTCAGAGGTCCTGAACGGACATTTTGTTACTCCAGTTACACAAAAAGCGACAGGACCACCTAGGTTTCTCTACAGGCATACCAAAAAAAAAAATATCCCAAGAAAGATAAAGTAAAAAACTAACTTGCCTTCCCAGAAGACTCCATCAAATGTTAGTTAAACTAAACTTTATAGAAGCAGGAAGAAATGGAAGGAATAATAAGCAGTGATGTATTAGTTAAGTTAATTAAAGGCACTCTGTTTAAATTACTGTATTGCTAGGGAAACAAATTTAGAAAAATTCCTACTAAAAGAGGAAAAAGCATTCTCCTGAAGAATATTTTGATATCTGATTGCCTAAAATTGTTTAGAGAAACAACATTGCAAAGAGTGGTGTCCAAACACAACAAGCTAATGGAACAAAGAGCACAGTGCCCAGGCCTGAGACAGGACACACTCACCTGCAGAGCTGCCAGCCACCCTCAGTCTGTGTCCCCACCTCGGGAGACACCACACTATCCTGCACAGATGTCCTTAGTCTATGTCACCATTGAGGGACCCTCCGCACTCACGTGCAGATGTGCCACCTACCCTGCAGCCTATGATTCTACCTCTAGGGACACCACACTCACAGACAGAAACACCATCTACCCTCAGTGTGTGTGACCATCGAGGGACACTCTACACTCACCTGCAAAATGCCATCGACCTGCAGTCTATGTCCCC